CCCCAATACAAAGGGGCGAGAGCGTGGCCGAGGTGCTGTCCCGCGCCCACCACCACAAAAACGCAATGCTGGACGCCGTCAAGAGCGCGGCGGACGCCGCGGCGGCCGAGGGCAGGCTGGCGCCTGAGGCGGCGGCGCGGCTGGTGGACAACTACGCGCAGCGGCTGATGGGGTACACGTGAGTCTTGGAGGGGGGGCTCTTTGTGCCGTGGTTTGGCGTGCTTTAAGGGGGCCAGGGAGGGTTTGGGCGTGACGGTGGGCGGAGCGTAGGCTGGCGCGTCGGCTGCGGTCTGGGGTTGCGCCCACAGATGCTGGAGGGCGGCAGCTGGCAGCTGTCTTGCCGCGCGTCTGCCCGTCCCTTGCGGTCTGCCAGTCTTACAAGGGCGGAGGAGGCGGGCCTTTCCGGGGCGGGCCTGCTCCGCCGCCGCCTGCGCTGCGCGCGCCGCGGCCCCCTCCTCGCGTGAGGCTTTATGCCCCGGCCAATGGCCGCCCGAACCCCTCCCTCACATCCCTCTGCCGCCCCCTCCCAAACCCCCCTCCAGCCGCCGCTGCTGCCCTTGCCGGTCCACCTCACCTCCCTCCGCCCCTACCCCCATTCGCAGCTACATGGAGGCCGCCTGAGTTCAGATTCATCCTTGATTCAAAAAGTATGTGGCGGCGCAAAAAGTGCGGGATGCCGCAATCCTTACAAAGGCCAGGGTGGCGCCCGCGCCGACAAGCGGCACCCCAGCCGCCCGGCCTCTACCCCTGCGTGTGCTTCCAGGCGCCCAGGGTGTGCCTGCGCGCCCCGCGCGCCCCGCGCGCCACGGTTTTTGGTCCCCTCTCTGCGCAGCGCTGCGAAGAATGAACGGATTTGGGTATGAATACGTCCTGGTGTATGGCCACCCGCGCTTTGCCCGGGGGCTGCGCGGCGAGCGGAGCGGGCCGCGCGCTCAGTGGCCGCATCTCGCAGGAATCTACACCAACAAATTACAATGCGGTCGCTCTTGAATGCTCGACGACACGTCTCTTCAAACGCCCCCTCCGGTTGCGTGAATCAGCTCCAATTGCTATAACGCCGTGCGGCTGCTACATCCAGCTATCCGTATATTGGGTCATGTTCTTGGCTCGGACTTCAGGATCTTTGCATGTGCCAGGGTTTGGGGCACCCCACATCCTATAGTGCAGCCGTGCGGCTTTGCATGGGCCGGCCCCGCTCATGTCATTGTGGGGCAAACGGCGCAGGCCCAGCGCTGGCACATGCCATAAGAAATAGAAACAGCGCTGTGCCGTCCGCCCTGGATGCGGCGCTGCTGCGCGCAGGGCACGGCTTCCATGAGTAATGGATGGAACCAGCACGTGCAGGTGCAAGGTCCGCGGCCGGACTGACATGGTGGGGGCGGTGTGCAGCTCGCTGGAAGGGTGAGCCCTGATCGCTTGATCAATTCAAACACCACTTGGTGCAGAAATGGAAAAGGTCTGTTCAAATGTGAAGCAGATGTACAAAAGCTTCCGGGAACACATCATATGACCACAGACTGACACAACATGAGAAGAAGCGGCGCCGCGCCCCGGCGCATGCGGTTGCGCCGCCAGCAGAAGCTGCCACCTGGGCGGCCTGCTCAGCAAGCTCCCACTGTTCTTGCGCCTGCCGCCCTCACGCGCCGTCGGCGTCCCTCCGCCGCCGCGCCGCCCCCTCCGCCGCGCCACCCAGCAGCGGCGCCGCCTCGTCCCCCGCCCCTGCCCCTGCGTCGCTGCCGCCGTCGTCCAACGGCCCGGTTGCGCGCTTGGCAGCCGCCTTTTCCTGCCATTTGAAATACGAATACAGAATCCCGCCTAAAGTGTTCAGGGCGACGCCGGCGACGCCGCTCGGCCGCATCTTGGCGCCCCCCAGAACAAAGAAGCCGACGATCGTACCTATCACACCCTGCACCGGCATCAACGGTGTTGCGCGAGAAGCGGCAGACAGGAGGGGACGTTATCATTTTCAACATTACTGATCGGGAGCACGACCCAAGGGGCGTGGGGGTGCGCGGGGGGTGCAGAGCTGTGCAGGGACTGGCTCTTGCAGCGTTGGGGGGGGAGCAATGCGCCTGGGGCGCAAAGACACCGATTCTCCCACCCGCCATCCTGTTCCTGCCATTCGACAAGCTGTGAACGACCACAGCAGCACGCCTACAACGCCATCAATCACCCCTGCTACATGATGATGACTGCCACGCAGCACTTGGGCGGGGGCGCTGTCCGCGCTCGCGCACGCCCGCATTGCGCACTTTCCAACCGACGCGCCACCACGCGATGACGTCACCTCGACTCACCTTCAGCACCCCCACGATCGTGGTGGTCAACGCGCTGTTGACCGACGTGCACAGCATCATGCTCCAGTTCAGCACGAACCCGCCCCCGGCGCAGCCCAGCAGCGCGAGAACCAGCTCGAAGGCCGACGCCTTGGCCACCGCCGCCGCTGCCGCCGAGCGCGCGCCGGACAACTCGCCCGTCGCGGCGCAGATCGCGAGGACGAAGGGCAGGTTGAGCAGCGCGTTGTAGTGCAGCATCTCTCCCTCGGAAAGCGCGACGGGCTGCTGCTGCTGCTGCGGCGGCGGCGCCGCCGCCGCCGCCTTGCCGCCGCCGGCCTCGGCATCGCCGCTCGCGTCGCCGCCGTCTGCGTCGCCCCTCGGCGGCGGGCGGGCGTGGCCCCTTGACCGCACCTCGATTGCGAGCATGTACGCGGCCTGCAGCAGACAGGACACCGCCGCGAAGCAGTACGACTTGAGCTCGCCCTCCAGATCATTGAACCCCGCGACGACAGAGCCGGCGCAGACGGTGGCGACGGAGGCTATGATCTGGGGCGACGGCCAGTAACCTCGAACGGCGCGCTTGAGCAGCAGCACCACGAGGGGGGTGTTGCGGCGGAGGACGAGGTACATCGGGAGGTTCAAACCTTGGGTGGTGCGATGAGGGTGGAATGAGGGTGGAGGAGTGTCGGGGCGCACGTTGGTTGGGGCGATTGTTTGTAGCAACGCGCCAGCGTATCCCACGTGCTTCTGTGTGCATGCGGGCATGCCTGGTCACATGAGCTTCCTGCATTTTACAGCAAAGTCAGCCCTGCGAATATAGCAGCGGCGGCCCGCATCATCACGCAGCGCGGCCAGGTCTCCCCAATCGGGGCTGCGCACAGCCGCGTCCCGTCCGTAACAAAGCCCGGCGGGCGCCCTCACCTTTCAGCGACAACAGGCTGAACACAACGTTCCCCAGGTAGAGCGCCGACAGCGGCGCCGCGGACCGCGCCGCGGCGCCGCTCCACGCCGGGAACGCCGCCGACGGCGCAGCGGCCCGCTGGGCGGCGAAGACGGCCAGGGTGAGCGCGAGCTGCAGCAGCAGGACCAGGTTCGTCAATGGGAATAGGATGAAGGCCCACTTGTTGATCATGACCAGGCCAATGGAGCAGGTGCCGTAGAACAGCGCCGCGAACGCTGACAGGGCGACCTGCCTGTCGAGCGCGGCAGCTGCCGCGGCCGCGCTGGCGGTGGCGACGGCCTTCGGCCCGAGCGCGGCCCCCATCTCGCCGCTGCCGTTGGCGCGGCGGCCCTGCGTGCAGAAAGACGGATGCAGGCGGCAGCAGCATGATGGACTCGGTTCGGATGCTCGGCTCATGTGCGCGCCAGTCACCCGCTGCATACTGGGCGCGTTGGGTAACGCTGCACGTGTGCACGGCGCTCGCCGCGTACTCGCTTATGCTGCGTTTGGCTGCTGCCTAGGACTTTTCGTGGGAGCACGCACCCAAATCCTCTGCAGCAAGCTCCCCTCTGGTCGTACGACGGGTCCTGCTGCTCGAGACACACTCGGTGTGTCAAAGGGTGGGTCAGCTCAAGAGCGCCTTTGATGCGAGCTAGCATTCAAAATCAATTGATTATTGGCACAACCCCGATGACAATTGAGTAAAGTATACAACGCAAGGCCATCAAGATCATTACTGCTCGACTTGAAAACGCCGCATTGGCTGCTGCGCCCACAAGTTCAGTACAATTGCTCGCACAAAGGCGGGTCCCATGATCACGGTTCCTCCTGCGCTTACGCCTGACGTGCGGCTCGTCAGGGCGGCGCTCTTGAACGACATTGCGCGGGGACGCCCGCGTGTGTGGCCGCCCAGAATAGTGGACCAGCAGCCGCCGCAGCGCTACACAGGCCAGGGTAGTGGTGGAGCGGGTGAGTGGGGGTCCTTTACTTGCTGGATGTCAGGACCATGGCGCTCAGGACCAGTGCTGGCTGGGTGGGGCTGGACTGGCGGGGAGGCACTCAGGCGCTCCTGATTGAGGCGGGGCCCTTACAAAATCCTGCCATCTGCTCTCAACCACGATGATCACGGTTGACGCGCCCAACCCCTCCCCACCCAATCAGATGTGGAGGTGGAACCGCTCGTGTTTGAAACAGACGACTCGGCCCAGGGCCGAGTCCCCTGCCTGATCCTGCGCCCCGCAGACGCGGCCGCCCCCATCCCCAGGCCGTTGCGGCGTTGGCGACGCCAGCAGCCGGCCGCTGAGCAGCAGTCAGCGCAGCCGCAAGAGCAGCAGCAGCAGCAACAGCAGCAGCAGCAGCAGCAGCAGCAGCAGCAGCAGCAGCAGCAGCGGCAGCAGCAGCAGCAGCAGAAGCAGCAGCGGCGCCCAGTGGTCGTGCTGGGGCACGCCTCATACTCCCGCAAAGAGGCGCTCGTCTCAGAGCTCGCGTCCTACGCAGCGCGCGGCTACGTGGCAGCTTCCATCGACAACCGATACCACGGGGAGCGGGCGTCCTGGGGCGACGACGGCGGCGCGGCGGACGGCGTGGGGGGCCCGGGGGACAGCTATCAGCGGGCGATAGTGCGGGCGTGGCGGGGAGTGACCCCAGAGAGACCCTTCCTGTTGGACACCGCCTGGTGCGGGGCTGTGGGGAGCTAAGAGCCGGGACGGGTGTGCGGGGACGGGGAGGGCCCTCGGGGCCGCGGGCTGTCGGCACGCGCACTTGGCAGCACTGAAGTCCACGCTCCCCTTTGCAGGGGCCCTCTGGCCCTCAGCATCCCTTTTTCAGCAGCTGCTGGCCCCTCTGCGCACTGTGAACCTGCGCCCATGATGACATCATGATGACGCTACTTCTCCCTTTGCTTCACCCCCAACCAAGGGACCTCATCCATTTGCTGGATATCCTTGAGGCGCGCCCCGACGTCGACGCGGCGCGCATTGGGATGGGCGGCATCTCCCTGGGCGGCATGCTGACCTGGTGGGTGCCCGCGACGGCCGCGCGGGCCCGCGCCGGAGCCGCCGTCGACCCGTACCAGAAATGGAGCGCGGCTCGGTCCGCGCGTCTTGGCTATTTTGACCTGCGCCAATGCTCTTGCGATAAAGACACCCTGTATACCCTAGACTCATCAAGTCGCGGCTGAACTGCGCCGTGGCCCGCGATCTCGCCCAACCCTCCTGCTTTTTTGGTCCACTTATTCCCCGCAGGCTGGTGGCGGCGGCGGACGACCGGGTGTCCGTCTCAGCCCCCTGCCTGGGCGTGCAGAACTGGGGCTGGGCGGTTCGAAACGACAGCTGGCAGGCGCGGCTGGGGTCGATCCCCCTGGTGGGGGCGGCGGCGGCGGCGGATATGGGGAAGCTGCGTCCAGACGCTGAGGTCGCGGAGGCGCTCTGGAGGAAGCTTCTGCCCGGTGAGACTGGCGGCGCCGTGTGAATCGAGCTCCCTCACACTTTTCTCTGGAGGCCCCGCAGCGGGGCACGCACGCAGCTGCGGCCAACGCCATCAGCCACTGTTGTGCACGGGTCAGGCTTTGACGCCTGACCCGTCCGCCTCGACAACATCCACCGGCCACTTGAGACCCAACCGACACAACCGACACGACTGACACAACCAACAAAACCGACCCAACCGCCACCAACACCACATGCTTCCACGCCAGGCCTGCTGGACTCCTACGACACGCCGCTGAGCCTGCCCTGCGTCGCGCCGCGCCCCCTCGCCGCCATCAACGGGGCCCTCGACGCCCGCTGCCCGCTCCCGGGCCTGCGTGAGGCGCTCGCCGCGGCGCACGGCGCGTACGGCGCCGCGGGGGCGGAGGCGGGGGCGCTGCAGCTGCGGGTGGAGGAGGGGGTCGGGCACGTGTACACGCCAGCGATGGCGGCCGCGGCCGCTGAGTTCTTTGCTGAGTGGCTTTGACAAACGCAAAGCAGCGCTGGAGTTGTGTGAGCTGTCCAGCAAACCGGCTGGTAAAAAACAGCGGGAGCTTTGATCGCTTGGCATTTCGTTTGTCACTTGCAAGCTGAATCAGCCTCTGGGCTGCGAGAGCATCGTTTGTTTGGCCTGATCACTCATACTTCTGGTTGAACCTGCATGCCTGACCTCTCTTCCGCCCAGGGCCATACCCTGATGGCGCAAACCAAATCCTACCAAAACCTGGCACATTCTGCATTACATCCTCAGGCCGCCCAATCGATTGCACACCCATTGTTTGCAGTGCAAGTTTTAAAGGCCCTTGCTCCTGATGATCACCTGAGCATGCGCTAGCAACTGGGGCGCTGCAGCCGCGGCAACGCTTGCACACATGGCCCGACCAAAAGAATGGTGTGTAAACGCTCGTCGCTGGTGAGGCATGTCCCCAAGTGTGAGGGGTGCAATGGCAGCAGGACGCGGCGTCAGGCGCCAACAGCCGCAGCCGGCACGCCCCATACAAGCGGCTGGTGACAAGAATTGTGCGCCACGTCTTCAGATCGAATTTGCGCGACGGAGGCGCTGGTCAGCCTGCAGCAAGCATGGGACGCGTCGACCGTGCTCACCCGCTAAGTGGGGCAGCAGCCAGGCCCACCAGCAGAGTTTGAAGTAGCCCTGGCACGGCTGGATACAGCAATGATCAGTCTACACCTGGCCTCATTGATCCCGGTTTCTGCATCTCCCGGCCAAAACAGCTGAAACTAGGGCCGATGCATGACCCAGGGGGGGGGGGGGCACCGCAAGCTTACTCATCCCAACCACATTGCAGCAAATCTGCCACCCAGACTTGAACACGCCCGATGGCGTCGCACAAATCGCCCATCATGGCTGACAGGCGCGTAGTATTCAGCCGCGCAATGCCCTCGGACAGCAGCCAGCAATGTGATCATTTTTGATTTTGTCGGTTCTGAGCAAGAGGTGCCCCTCAGGGACCACCAGGCTGCTTCATCAGGGCATGCCCACGCCCTCTCTCACACCCTGGATAATAACGAAACTCAGTGCAGTGCACATTCCTTCCCTCCCCTGCATATTTTTCTGCCCGTGCGTGCGGGGCTGAGTTCCCCCCGTTAAACCACCCACACCCCTGAGAGCCTGTGCTTGGCCCTGATTGGTTCCCTCAACCCTCACGTCAATAGGCTCATTGGCGCAGAGGGTGGACAGCCGCATGCTTTGCATAAAGCTCAAAGTACGTTTGCGTCGCCCGTTGCACGAATGCCTGAACGATGCGGTGACGCCGTTCATCCTCGCGCTCAAACACGCTACAGGCTACGCCAGGTTGGCTGTGAAACTATAACACCTGAGTCTGTCCCTTACAACTTGCACCAAATCTCATTGTTTTGCGTAACACAGAGAGCGACAGGCAGTGGTGTGGGCCCTCGCCTCAAGAGCGCAGCAAGGAACGCCCGTCATTGCAGCGCGGCACAATGCGCGCGTGCCCGTGTGTCACTCCGCGAATCAACTGCCGCCTTCTGCAGCAAAGCGCTGCAGCTGTAAGACGTGTGGGTGACAAAAGCGCGCGCCAGTTCGAACAAGTGCGTTGTGGGGTGAGCAAGAACCGCCCGATGCACAGCCGCAGGCCCTGAGCGCCTGTGCTGTAAGCGAGCCGTCAAAGCGGACGCCTCGCCTTGCCAGGGCGCTACGACGAGACCGAGGTTGCATGACAAGGGAAGCCACCATCACGTGGTCAGTGTGATGTGGAATGTGCCAGGGCGCACCACAACCTCACGCATACAGCACGCTTGTGATACTCCTAGAACGGGCTGATAAGGCGGATCTCGCACGAGCGTGCTGTGTTGTGTTTTAAGCAAGTACGTCAGCCCAAAGGTGTGCAGTGGCTGCTGGGCGGGGGCGGGCAGTTCCGAAGCGCGTCGAGAAAGCGTGTTGATGGGTGGCGGTGGAGAGATGCTCAAAAGGATCAGCGTGGGCGCCTGCAACCTCCAGCAGGTGCCGGGCGCCATTTGCTTGGCTGCTGCAACCAGGCATGCATGGGCACAACGGTGAGATGGCATTGAACCTTCAAATAGGTGCGCACAGCGGTGAAGCACGCGTTTTCACATGGTGGGATGGACGTCGCACAGACCGAGCCCGTTTGTTCTTTGGTCCAACACACAGCATTAGGTCCTAACTGTGCAGAGCCAGCAAATGGGTGGGTGGTGTCATAGCTGTCTGTGATGCACAGTGGCGCCCGCTGAATGCAATACAGCAGAGGCACAGTTTTTTGAGGTGTTGTAGCAGTCCAGGTATCACGTCTGCACCAGGTGCATGTGCATGCCCACTTTCAACAAGGGTGGGTGCAAGACACAAAGGCAGCCAGTTCTGCTGTGCAGTGAGCAGTTGACAGGCCCAGAAACGTCGGAAACATGTGGGCGCGCGGTGGCGGTGGTTGCGCCTGGATGCGGCTGGTTGTTGCAACCCGCAACCACCGCCTTGGTTGTGGGTACCCAAAGATTGACCAGTGGTCGCCACAACCAGCCGCCTGTTTGCGGGGACCCTGGGTCGCCGCAACCATGCGGCGGGTTGTGGCGACCAAGGACACTGCGCCACGTATGCTGCGGCCCGTGCTCCTGACCCTTTGCTGATTAGGAAGCATGCGTATAGTGCGATTTTACATTTTTAAATAAGGTACTGGCTTATGCTAGTGCGCAGCAAGGTGAAACACCACCAAGTTGCTGGTCAAGTGCATTGACAGCAATGCACAATAATCTGACCTTAACAACACACCAAGCTAAAAATTTCAACGGACACGGCAACGGTTTTGCAAACCATTTATTTCCGCATAATGGGCGCGCCATAGGGCCCAGGCGCGCGCGGAGCGGCGTCCTCGGCGGCATGGTCTTCTCGGGACGCCAGGGGTGATGGCGACTTGGGGCATGCGGGGGTGCTTCTTGTTGCCCGGTGCAGTACAATGGCCCAGCGCCATGTTTCCTTGATCGCCAGCGGGGCGCTTGGCAGCGCGTCGAGCCGCACCCAGGAGGGGCATGGTGGCGGCTGGCTTGTTGAAGGCACTGTCTAAAGATTGCGCGGTGGGGAAGGGTACACACCAACCTTAAGTAGGTGGCAACAAATGCGAGTTTGGTGCCAAATGCTAACAACGAACGCAGCCGGGCAGCAGGCGCTGAGTGGCTCAGTGTGACAGCTGGCTCAGCCTCAGGAGGCTGGGCAGGGCAACCCGCGGACCGCACTTCATGCGGGAGATGCCTCTAGATGCAACTGCAGCTTATTCACCCAAAAACACGAAGGATCACCTCCAGGGGCTGTGGGGGCCGCCGGATTCATGACTCGGCCGACTTGTGATCATAGCTGCGGGCTAATGGGTATCATAGGCTGCGATGTTGCGGAAAAATATTTGATCGCCGTCGGAACAACAGGCAAATGGGGAACCGCAGATTTAAACGTGCCTGTCGTGCCGTTGGAAGTCGCAGGAAGCCGGTGGCGCGACAGCAGTGCGTCTCTGTGTGTTTAAATAGGCGACATTGATGGCAGAGGTGCTGTACGTTGCCAGCGGCCAGGCCTTGCTGGACAGGCGCCCTCTGGGCCGCTGAGCGGCGCAGCCTGAATTGTGCGCAGCGCCTCGCATCAGGGCAGCAAGAGCGGTTGGGTGCACAACTTGCGTGCGCATGTTTTCACCCACTTGCACGCCGCAGGCGGCCTGCGGGATGTGCACTTACTGTACCGGCATCAGGCTGCTCAGTTCTGGGTGAAGCCCATGTGTATGACCACACCCTATGGGCCACAAGCTGCAGCCCTTGCCAACAGAGCGCATCTGCTACAGAAAAGCACAAATTTGTGCTGGGGTTGCCGCAAGCTGCCCGGGCTTGCAACAACCTCAGGCTTGGTTCTTGGCAACCCGCAACCCGTCGCCTGGTCACGGCGACGGTTCTGGGGTTGCGTGCGCGCAACCCCGGCAGCAACCGGCGTCAACCCGCAGCAACCTGGGCCTGGTCACTGCAACCAGGTCCCATATGTTTCCGACGAAGGCGTTCACATGAGTCTTGAGCAGCAGCAGCTGTGTGTGTGTTGTGGGGCGGCAAAGTAGGCAGAAGGGAGACACGAGCTTGATGGACCATCAGCTGGGTTGTGAGACAAAGCGCTTGTGCTTCGGGGAGGCGCAGGAAGAAGGACGCAGGGGGCGCCAAACAAATTCAGGAGAAGCAACAACCCAAGTTTTTGGGTGCTTCAGCAGGCGCCTCTGGCGCTGCACGCTGCGCATGCGGCAAGAGCAGAGGTGGATTCCATCCACTGTTCAAAGGCACACACGCCTGGCAGGGGCGCCCAGGATTATCATCGTGTGGATAGCACACGAACATCAGAAGTGCGCATAGCAGTGTTGGAGCAGCGGGAACGCGGGGAAAAACCATCAACCCAGGCGCTTACTAGGCGCGGCTGTGCCATGGTCGGTGAAGTGTGTGCAGCCCACTCCCACACACTCGCTTTGGAGCGGCCCTTGAGGCACGCATGAGGACCCACCCTGGCAGGACATTCACAGCGCCATGCAGCCGGCTGACAGGCGTGCGGGAGGACGAGGCATGCATAAACAGCAGGCCAACAAAAAAGCTGGGGCGGTTGCGCTGCACACAGGCGGCCTGCTCGCTGGGGTACTCCCCCTGTGCGAGCTTGAGCCCTTGCCGTGGGTCAGCGCCCACCTGCACACTCAGCAGCTGCGGTACCAGAGGCCCGACGCCTGGCCAAACTGCGCGCCCGCGCAAGAACGCGCGCGCGACTGGTCAACAAAATAGCAGTTGCAGGAGATCGCCGCCCCGGTGACGGGGTTGCGGTTTGCGTTGCGGCACGCGCAGGCCAGGTTGCTGCCGCCAGTCAGCACCCCTGTGGCCTCGCTCGGCACAGTGGGTACAGTCGCCACTGTCCTCATTGCCGGCCTGCATGAAGCGTGCCGTGGCGGGTGCGTGTCCGTAGCAATGTGGTGTGTGGTTTTGGTGCAACAACGTCAAGCGTGAGGGGCGGTGGCACCCCGAAGCCTGCAAATTCCTGCAGGAATTTGTCTATGCAGCTGCACAGACAGGAGCCGACGGCCCAAGGCGCACGAGGCGCCAACGCTCTGAGGAACCAACGAGGCGGGCGCGTGTGCGTGCCCCCAGGGGAGCGAAGGCAAGCAAAGCAGACATGGGGCTGACGCGGACGCTGCTGTTGAAAATGTGGGTGTGCGTGCGCGTCTCACTCACTGCTTGATGCGGTAGGCGAAGGCGAACTGGTAGTAGCCTTCGGCCGGCAGCCTTATGCCGGCGGCCCGAGTTGAGCACGCCACGCGGAGCACGGTGCCCTTCAGGCCAAACGTGGTCCTGTCAATGACTGGCATTGTGATCCTTCCCGCCAGCGCGCTGTTAGTCATGGTTGTCAGGATGGACTGCACAAGGCGATTCAGGTCGTCGCCCTGTGGGCGCGTTCAAGATAGCGCGCGCGCACGTGTGTGTGTGTGTGTGTGTGTGTGTGTGTGTGTGTGTGTGTGCGTGTGTGTGTGTGTGTGTGTGCACACGGGTTGTGTGTGTGTGTGTGTGTGTGTGTGTGTGTGTGTGTGTGTGTGCACACGCACTTACATGCACATTCTTGCACAACGTGCGTGTTTGCATGCAGGCGCACGTTAGGGCACGCGTGGCTGCAGTGGTGGCCACCAGGATTAGGATTAGGATTAGGA